CCATCCTGTAAAATAAACACTGCTACAGAAACTTCAAGCCACTAGCTTGAAGCCCTATGTTCCACTGGGGAACGTGAAGGAAAAAGAAGTTGATGTGTATGTGATTTAAGTTCTTCAAGTAGGATGCTATGCGAGGGTCACAGTAATTTAGGACACAATCTTTTGTACTATGAGAGAAAAATGTCAGCAACACAATCTGTCCAGATAAACACTTTAATGTCTCTTACTTAAAAACAAACACGAACTTTTGCTTATGTATCTGTTCATACTACTGAGATAACCATTGAGTAGAATGTTGATGAATAATTTTTCGGATTTCATACCTACAGAATGTTTTAAAGAAAGGTTTTAATCATTATAATGAAATTAGAGTAATATCGTGTTTTGTTTTTCATATACACTGTCACTTACGCAGTTTCAGTACATTAAGATCTGGTACGAACAGTCATTGAAGAAGCTTGTCATTATGTTGACACAATGATCAGTTGATCACGGATTGATATCAGTTAGAGAACCATTGAAAACCAGTTACAGGGAGTACTGGACAGCCAGCTGCTTCCTCCCACTAGTTTGGGAATCATCGCTAGTACGAACCCACCAACAGGGTTAGAACCCAGGATCTTCCGGTAACAAGCAAGCAAGCTCGTAAACCATTCAGCCACTGTGGCACCCGACTCCTCAATGGCCAGTCCATGGATTCTAACTTCTACCAATTCGTGATTTAGCACGACCTCAACCATCCTCACTCGTGACTGGATGGACCTTACTCATAAAAACGCAACTAATTCTTACAAACCAAATTATGGAAAATTATTATGGTGCTCGCTAATGATTTGCTACAGGATGGAGTTTCCTGAAGTTCTAGTGAGTTGTGACCAGTAAAGTCCAATTAGATGTCACGTGTGTGGATGGATGTCCCACCAGCGACAATCGTTGGGGTCAAGCTAAATCACGAATTGGTAGAAGTTAGAATTCATGGACTGGCCATAGAATCGGGTCCCAGTGGCTGAATGGTATATGAGCTTGCTTGCTTGTAACCGGAAGGTCCCGGATTCGAACCCTGGTGGTGGGTGCGTACTGGCGATGATTCGCAAACTGGGATGAAACAGCTGTCCAGTACTCCAGAAATGATTTTCAGTGGTTCTCTAACTGATATCAATCCGTGATCAACTCTTATTAGTTTGTTCAGATTCATTTGGAGAAGGTGTTGATGTATGTGATTTAAGTTCCTCGAGTAGGATACTGTGCAACAGTCATGGTAATAAGGACGTAATCCTTTGTACACAATTTCTGTCTAGATATACACTTCAATGTCTATCTTGTTTAAAACAAACAGAAACGTTTTGCTTATGAATCTGTCAATACTACTGAGATAAATATTGAGTAGACTGTTGATGAATACTTTTTCGGATTTTATATCTATGTTGACACAATGATCAATAATTTATCATCCATTGTCAACAGAGTTTTGCTTACCTATAGGCTTGATAGTAGACAATATGTTCTAAAAGTGTGGTGCAATTATGAAGGCTTGATATTACGGTTACCATTCCCTCTGAAATTATGCTGACTGCTATACTGAGTGAGAGGAAGTCAATTAAATAAGGCTTCATTTTATAAAATTTTAAGTTAATTCTGAGTTAACAACTGGATTTAGCAGATGATATATGTCTAATGTCACACAAACTCGAAGACTTGCAGGCGAAAAACAACAAAATGGCTGAAGAGGCAGGCAGCGAAGACAGGACTCAAGGTGAACATCGAGAAGACGTAGGTGATGAAGATAGCCAACCAACCAACAGCAGCAGCAACAACAACAACCAGCATCATTCACCATCAACAGGAGAGATTTAACAGCGGTTAACACCTTCACTGATCTAGGAAGCATTGTTTCAATTACAGCCAGCGGAACTTATGAAGATGTCAAAGCCAGTTAAAATTGCAAAGGCAAGATACGCCTTTATCGAAATGAAACCAATTTGGAAATCTTCCACACTCAGTATAAGGAACAAGATTCGGATTTTCAACATCAATGTGGAGTTGGTCCTTCTAAACGGGTCAGAAACTTGGCCAGCTTGTCACGAAAAAGAATTTCCAACAGATTTTTGCTGACTTTTATCAACAGCTGCCACTTTCGCCGGCTGGCTCCACATTGAATATCAAGTGGACAGTAGGAGAGAATTAGCAACAAGAAACTCTGGCTGGGAACAAACCAACAGGCGAGGGACGATCGCTCAACAAATATGTAGGAGAAAGCTGAGATTGATTGGGCATACATTGAGGAGGCCGTCGAATGACATCGCTGTCAATGCAGGCCATCTATCGAGTGGAATTTCAACGGGAAGCAACGAGTGGGTCGTCAGTGTGAGGGTAACATGGAGGAGGAAGAGATGAGAGAGTTTGGTCAATCGTGAACTCAGATGAAGAAGACGGCAGGAAACAGAACAAGGTGAAGATCTGTTGTTGAGGCCGTATGATGTTTCACTGGAAACGCAAGGGAATAATAAATCATAATAATAAGTTAATTAAGTGGACTTTAATAGTTAGTCGAACTAGGAGATTATAAGTATTATTTTTATTCACTCCATGAATTCTATTCCGGTGCAAAACATAGCATCATCAATATATCTTCATTGCAGTCAGATATCTTTCATCACTTTCTGTTGACTTCACGAATGATCACAATCTGGTATTTCTTTCTCACATGACCTCTACTACATTCCCTTTGGATCCCATTTGTTTATCCAATCCAACTCTACTTACTTCTGGAAATTTCTTGAGCGATAGGCTCTTAGTTGCCCTCCTGCTTACCAGAGTTCTTAGTTGTTTATCCCTTCCAGCTGTCCACCTGATCTTCAGCATCTTACGAAGGCGCAGGCAGGGACTGGTGAAAGTCTGCAGCAGTATTGAAAATACCTTTGTTGATGAATTGATCTTCTACACCATGTATAAGCACTTGCCCAGCTTCAGTGATGAGAATTGACATTTTGCTCTTAATGCTGAGTAGTATCGTTCTGTACATCATATTCAAGGTTATCAGGTATTATTTTGTTAGTATTATTTCTTGGGTTCCAAGTGGAACATCATAGGGCTTCAGTAACATTTCCTTCTGCACTTGGTTCTATTCTTCGCTGTCCTATTCATCTGGCTAGCCGCACGATTGCCCGTAATCTCTCATCTCCTACACTCAGCAAAGGATGTCCTCTGTAAGATCGATTCAAATCCCATCCTTAAATCGTCAGACTGTCCCGGATCAGCCTAGCATTGTTGCAATACAATTATCCATGCCTAACGTGTCTATCCCACCTTGTTTAATGAACTGTGTGTGTTTTTACTTTGATCCGTTTAGTCAGACAGTTGAACTCATGACCCAATCAGAGTATTTTTGTGAACTGTTATTTTGCTGACCCATGTCTTACTTTATATTATTCTTACATGGAGGATTTCATCATGAGCTGACATCAGTTAGAGAACCACTGGAAAACCTGGGAGTACTGGACAGCTGCTGTTTCATCCTAGTTTAGGACTCTTCAGCAGCACGCGCCCACCGGGATTTGAACCCAGGACCTTCTGGTTACAAGGCGAGCTCGTAGACCATTAAGCCACTGGGACCCGATCCAAAGGTCCTTGAATTCTAACTTCTGCCCGGTGGGCGCGTACTGATGAAGAGTCCCAAACTAGGACGAAACAGCTGTCCAGTACTCCCAGGTTTTCCAGTGGTTCTCTAACTGATGTCAGCTCATGATGAAATCCTCCATGTAATTAAACAAAATCCCTACCAAACCAATACTTGAAAATTATATTATTCTATTGAGTTTATCTTATTTATTGATTGGTTAAGTAGCCAATTAAATTCTATCTTTGTGCCTATGCTCTGTCTGCCTCTTACTTGGGTTCATTCTTCTACTGACTGCTTACCTGAACAGTCGTGTCTGATCCGGCTAGTTCGCAATTTTGGCTTTAACGTTTTTCCGCTCTGATAGCGGTGCCTTGCTTTCTGTTAAGCGTTGTGTTTTGTACTCTTGAAACCGTTAAGGTTTGTTGTATATATAATTATTGATTTGTTTATTAATAGTACCGTAGAAACAGTGCCCGGCTTCTTGTTTTTTCTGGACCGGGATAGCCTTTATCTACGCCTGACTTAACTTCAAGCGATATTGCGCCTACATCCTCCATGTCACCTTAACACAGACTACCCACTCGTCGCCTGCATTGTGTGCGATGTCATTCGACTGCCTCCCCCCCCCCAACGTATGCCTGACTGATTCATCTCCATTTTCTCCTAAGTATTTGTTGTCCGTTTGGTTCTTGGTTGTTTTGTTCCCAGTCAGAGTTTCTTGTTGTTAATTCTTTTTGGTCACCCAGCCGGGTGGCCATTTGATCTTCAGTATGGAGCCACCCAGCGAAAGTGGCAGTTGTCGATATAAGTTTGTCTTTGCCATTCTGTTTGCCTTTTACTTCATCATCCGTATGGTGTCGTTTGTAGTTGAAACGATGGTGCTTAGATAGGTGAAGAAAGTGATGTCTTCCAAATTTATTCCGTTCATACTGATTGGGGCTTGTTGTTGTTCAGCTATGTTCATCACCTCCATCTTCAGGTAGTGAACATTTTTACTCACTGTAGGGAGCGTTGAATGATTATACTTCAGAATTTATTGACTTAATTATTTGTAATTTTGATTAAAGAGTGGGAAGCATTCATTGCTAAGCTTAGGATCCATTCATCGGTTCCGTTTGCCTTTCAACTTTAATTCTTTTACCTTCAGAAATTTCTATATCGATCTTCCACAATGAAGTGGAGAGCAATGGGAGTGAAAGCTATTCAGATTTTAAAAAGTGGCCTTTCTGAGCTGAATAACTGTCAGGAAACTAACTTATACACATTCATTTGGTTGAAAGATTTCATCGTGCGCTGAACTCAGTTAGAGAACCATTGGAAAACCAGCTGAGAGTACTGGACAGTTGTTTCATCCCAGTCTTAGGACTCTTCAGTATCCCTGCAAAACCAATACTTGAAAACTATTCTGATGCTAACTAGCGACTGGCCATATTCAGGCAGTTAATCTGGGGTTCTAGTGTGAATCCGTGACCAGTAGGGTACAGCAGGTTGAAGATGAGGCAGTGACTCATCGAAGAAGACACTGAGCGAAGTGATCGCGCAATGACATGAATTGGTAGGAGTTAGAATTCATGGGTTGACCATTGGATTGGGTCCCAGTGGCTGAATGATCTAGGAGCTAGCTCGCCTTGTAACAAGTAGGTATTGGGTTCCAACCATGGTGGTGGGTGCGTACTGATGAAGAGCCTCACCCGGTGGGACG